CTCTCCCTCTCCTTGGGCCTCACTATCCCTGAGACACAATATTGAAATTAGCCGATTAACAATTCTACAGTGGCCTTTAAGTGTTCAAGTAAAAGGAAGAGTTACACATTTCTCACTTTAAATCAAAAGCTGGAAATGAGGAAGGCATGTCGAAAACCAAGATAGGCCAAAAGCTAGGCCTCTTGCACTAAATTGTGAATGCAAAAGAAAAGTTTTTGAAGAATAGTATAAGGGCTATTCCAGTGAATACATGAACGGCAAGAAAGCAAAACGACCTTTTTTGCTGATACAGAGAAAGTTTTAGTGGTTTGGATAGAAGATCAAATGACTACAACATTCCCTCAAGCCAGAGCCTAGCTCAGAGCAAGGCCTTAACTCTCATCAAGTCTATGAAGGCTGAGAGAGGTGAGGAAGCTACAGAAGAAAAGTTTGAAGGTAACAGAGGTTGGTTCATGAGGTTTAGGGAAAGCAGCCATCTCCGTTATATAAAAGTGCAAGGTGAAAGAAACAACAAGTGCTGATGTAGAAGCTGCAACAAGTTATCCAGAAGATCTAGCTAAGATAAATTCTGAAGATGACTACACTAAACAACAGATTTTCGGTATAAGTGAAATAGCTGTATATGGGAAGAAGATACCATCTAGGACTTTACCTAGAGAGAAGTCAATGCCTGACATCTAAGCTTCAAAGGACAGGCCGACTCTCTTGTTAGAGGCTAATGCAGCTGATGACTTTAAGTTGGAGCCAGTGCTCATTTAAAATCCTAGGGCTCTTAAGAATAAAGGGCTTCCCTATCACTTTAAATCAGAAGCTGGAAATTAAGAATATTTCTAAGGTATGCCTCATAATATCTCTGAGGTACGCTTGTACACATATATCTTTAGAAGGTGTTGTATAGCTCTGTTTAGTTCTGTTTATCTATATCTTTCTATATCTATGTCTGACTATATATTTAATTATTTTTTTCTCTGTTTCATTTTCCATAGTTTATATTGCCACGCGTTTTTTTTAGTTTTGTTTGAGAGCAAACAATGCAGTTAAATTACTTCGGAAGAGTTTTATACTTTGCATCTTGATTTTGAGATTTGTTAGGTAGGACCAGAGCCCTGTTAACTCCAGGGTTAATTACCCCCCACTACCAAGGCAAACCTTTTTGAGTACTCTACATAATACCTGATGAATTATGAGTTATTCTGGTGTTGCTTGTCAGAATAGGCACTATTTCCAACCATGAGTGAGCACCAGGAACTGTTCCTTCTGATCTTTTTAGCTAGTTCTTTCCTCAGCTCACGTAGTTTCCTCGCAGACATGCACTGATCAGTATTCTGCCGAGTACTAGAAGAGGATTTCCTCTATATCATTTCACATGAAGCCATTTATTTTAATGGTTGCATATTATTTAATAATATATTTCTTTAATTTCTTATCAGTGGATTTTTTTTTATCAAAACAGTAACAGATGTCCTTCTAAATATCTGTATATTTATGCAAATATTTTTTGTGTGATAAATTCCAAAAAGTGGAATTTCTGGGTGTAAAGATTTGCCCACTTAAAATTTTAATAGCTATTGACAAATTTGTTTTTCAATAATTTCCATTTCCACTAACTGAATTAGAGAACCTGTTTGCTTCAACTCTTACTATAGTATGTGTTGTCATTTTATTTAATTTTGTCAACCTGATATATGAAAAAATAATTTCAAATGGTTTTATTTGCATTTTTTATTATTAGAAAGGTTAATTCTATTCTTTTAAAGTAATTTTACTCATATCATTCTAAGGTTTAGAAGCATTTCCAAAACAATGTTAAATAATACTCTTGACATTAAACAGCCTAGTTTTGTTTTTGACTTTTATGAGAATATTTCTATATATGACTATTAAATATGCATTAAGTTCAAAATATTTCAAAACTGATATCTTTTTTTTAATAGACTGTTTGTCCTAGTAATATTTTATTGGAGATATTTGCACTGCTGTTCATAAGTAAATTTATTTTTGTAGTGTCTTTGTCACTTTTTGATATCTGTGTTATGGTGTTTTTAGGAACTTTTTTTTCATTCTCAGTTCTTTGAAACAATTTAGGTAGCATCATCTGATTTATAATGGTTTGAAATTATTCCTTAGCAAAAAAATGTTTAAGCTTTTTACTTTATTGGAGGTATTTTATTAAATCATTGGTTTATGATAACCAGTGTACTCCATGGTTATCGATCTCTTTGAGTTTCCTATCTGTAAAAGTTTGGATTCAGTCAGGAAAACAGAACCTACAACAGATAGTTCAATAGGTAGAATTTAATTTGGAGAAATATGTTAAAAAGTTTTGGAAGCGCTAAAAGCAAACAGAGGATGGTTAAGCAATTCAGTGATTAGTAACTGCATGGAGCCTCTACAAAGGTAAAGCTACAAAGTGGGGAAGGGCTTATTTCACCTATATGTGTGTGAGAGAGAGAGAGAGAGAGAGAGAGATAGAGTTAGAGTTTAAATGCTCAGAGACAATAGCAAGTAGTAAGGATTAGACTTACATAGGATTTACCTAATTCTTAGTGGAAGAGATCGATCTTGCCATGTGAAGGAGAGGAACATTCCAGGAAGAAGGAATGTTCAGGAAACTGAAGGAACAACAGTGCTCCTAGAATTTATTTCGCTGGATAGAGAATGACAGACATGAAATTGGAAGGATAGACAGAAGACAGATAATAAAAGACATTATAGGTCATAGAAAGAAGTGTTTTTTTTTTTTTAAATGAAAAGAAAAGCAAATATAGGAATTTATGCAGGAGAATGACATTAATTTTTTTGCTACTTTAAGTTGAATGGGTTGGAAAGGAGCATCAGTAGAAGAGAGGACAAAGAGACTGGTACTGCCCTCAGTGGAGATTCTATTCTAGTTGGAGATATTAGGAGGAGTTGTAATAGTCTAAGCCAGAGATAATCATAACCTCCAAAAGGGTGGAAGTAAAGATGGAGAGAAGTGGGCAGATTTGTGGTAGACTTGGGAGGAAGAATCAGAAAGACTTACCGATAGATTGTTTATGGAAAAGGGTAGCCTGTGCTTCAAAAGAGCAGAGACTTTTTATTTAGGAAGAAGGGAATGAATGTTTATTAACAGTATTGGGAGTGGAATAGAACCAGGGTTTTTTCTAAAGCTAGAAAATAAATGGAAAGCTCCAATTAGAAGTATAAGGGGTTTTATAATTACAGAGTAGGAGTTCTTGAGAGTACAGGATTCCGTAGATAGTATCCTGTGTCAGATTAGGAGATACTGAAGGAAATATGAATTTGACAATCAAGATGATAATACATACCTCGGGAGGCTTAGACTTCCCGCAGTGACTACAGTGAATAGGGCTGTTAGGTATGATAAGATGTGATCTTCTGGGAGGAGGAGGGCAGTCTGACTTTGTTCTGTCGTCTCTTAAACTGGCTTCTGAGAAGGCTTCTCCCCTTGACTGTAAGAACTTCTATATAGAATCACAAAAATTTATTGCTACAAAGCACTTAGGGAATATTTATTTTTTGAAGATAAAGAACTGATCCCTCTCACCTTTATTTGGTAGTACTAACTTTATGCACATACTATATATAGAATGTTTTCCCAACATTGTATTTTTTAGAGTGATAATATCAAATGAAAAAGGCAAAGCTACAAGAGTTATTAGGGCCATTTAATTTATATTTTTAAAATGTGTATAGTTTTAAAATTGTTTTCATCTTTATTAAAATTTAGGTTTTGATGGAAGAGCTACATTGATTCTAAATTGCTTTGTGGCATCAGGAACATGTTAGTACTACTTAGATTTTTGAATTTGAAAGTAAATTTGATGAGTTCATAGGCCACATGTCCTCGTCTTTGTTCATAAAGCATTTCACAACTAAAAATGACCCCCCATCCAAAACCAATGTCCTCAAAGCTTTATTTATTTTTGAAAAACCTATATGGCAGTGTATCAGAAACAAGATTACCAAGTCAGATTGGAGAGTTCTGTGACAAAGGATTTGTTTTCTTTAGGTTATTATTTTGATTTAGATGCTTATTAAATTTTCAGTTAGGATTATATTGTTATATTGACAGAAAGACTAATTCTGTTCAGTCACAGATCAAAAGTAATAGAGTAGAAAAAATATTCTTGTAAATATCTGAAACCATGTCTTGTTCATTTTTTTGTATCTTTAACATGGATTCTCCCTGATCGTGGTAAGTCTCCAAAAGTTATTTGTGAATAAAATTTTGAAGACCTAAGTGGATAGCATTCCTCTGTTACTTTTTTCAGTATTTATTAGTTAGAAAGTCTAATAACAAATGATTTGTTCTTCCAGCAGTATCCATATACCCAATTGTCCAAATATACCATTTTGTGTCTCTTCTATGGAGACATTGTGCCATCTTGGAAAAACCATTAGAATTAATGATATTTATTAATAAAAGAGAATGGCTCTACATAGAAATGCAGAGAATACTTCTATTTAAGACAGAAGAAGCAAAAGAAGAGCAGGTACAAAAATTGAGAAAGCATTTTTAGGAAGGGAGGAAGACAAGTTTGTATGTTGGAAGATAAGAAGTCATACAAGCCAAAATAGAAAAGTGAGATGCCAGAGAGAGACAGATAAGAATAAAGATGGGAAAATTTCTGTTGCATTTGACCTTTAGGAAATGGTGACTTTACTGAGAAATTAGAATGGTGTAAGCAGAAGCAATGTATCATTGTGTTCAAAAACAAACAGAAGACTGCAAGTATGGATTCTAAGAGTCCTTTAATCCCTTTCCTAATATTCTGCATAGCCTTGATTACTTACTTTTGAAACATTTGTACTTGAAGTTGAAGGTGTTAAATATGAACCATTTATAGCTCATTGCACAATTGCTAGAAACCTGCCATTTTTATATTAAAGAAATAATTCGTATAAAACCAAATATTAAAGTTCTTGAACACTTAAAGCGTAGCTAAATGGAGACCTCTAATACAAGTGCTAATTTTACTTCTTTATTTTTTAAAAAGTCTTGGCTACTTATGATTCAGCAGACGGAACAACTTAGTAGGATAATGAAGACACATGCAGAGGACCTAAATTCTGGACCCTTACACAGGCTCACCATGATGATCAAGGACAAGCAGCAGGTGAAGAAAAGTTATATAGGTGTTCATCAACAGATAGAGGCAGAGATGATTAAGGTTTGTCTTTCTATTCTGGACTTCTTCTTTTAATTGATTTTTAAATTCACAGAAATATTTTATCCTGATTGAATTAGAAAATTGTTTATCATCATTTCCTGATGGAAAATATGTTTCATGTCTCTTATGGATAATAACTTATTTTTATTGAATATAAAACATTATTGATTATAAGATATACTATGACTTTATGTACTCCTATAAAAGAAAAGCATGCTGCCAATTAAACTTTTAGACAGTGCTTTTTTTTAACCACTTAGAGTTTTTATTTTTTAGTTACTGACATAGCTCATGTAATAGTATGCATAAAATAAAAATGAAAATATAATCAAAATAAGATATTTCTAAATTTTCTCCACATTCAGATTGTGTCTCTGGATAATTTTTTTCAATGTTTTTAATTATGAAAATTTGCTAATGTACAAAAAGAAGAGAGAATAGTAAAATGAATTTCCATCTGTGCATCCACCCATATAGTAATTTTTTTCCATCTATATTTTCCCCCACTTTTTCTTCTACACTGGATCATGTTAAAGAAAATTCCAGAGATCACTTTATCCATAAATATTTTAGTATGTATTGCTAAAATAAGTATTCTTTTTAAAAAAGCATAACTTATTGTTAATCTAAAAATAATAATAATTCCTAATGCTATTGAATATCCTAACTGTGCTCAAATGTGATTTTTAAGTGTTTTTTACAATTGATCTAAACATAGCCTGTACACTGAATTTGAACAATTCTCTTTAATGTAGGTTGCCCTCCCCCATTTTTAAATTACCATTTATTTGTGGAAGAAACTGGGTAATTTGCTCTGTAGAATTGAATTTCCTTCATTTTGGATTTTGTTGTTAGCATCTTGTGATGTGATTTCACATATTCCTCCATCGTCCAGTTTTCCTGTGAACTGGAAGTTGGATCTAGAGGCTTGATGAGATTTTTGCTGTTTATTTTGGGCAATTATACATCATAGATTCTTGTATAGGCTTCCTGTTGTTTCGTGTCAGGAGGTACATAGTGTCTGTGTCTGCTCATTTATCTTTTTGTGATGTTAAACTCGACTAAGAGATTCTAGTGTTGACAGTCTGTTCAGTCTATAAAAAAAATTTCCCTTTAGCCTTTCACCTAATAGTTTTAGAAAAAATTGATGTTCTCTGCTTAGATTCATTATTTCAGTGGGGGTTGTAAAATGACAATATTTTAGTTCTATCATTATTAATGCAATCTCGTTAGCTAGAATTTTTCATTAAAAAATTTTCCTATATCAACTGTTTGGTTACCATAAGGCATAGTTCATTTAGGAAAGACAGAATAAATGCTTTCTTTTTGTAGTTTATTTGCCAGTTTGCAGAATAATGAATTGATTCTTTAGCAACTTCAAAGTTAAGACTTCTAGTTTCTGGTCCAACATATAAGAGGTTTGAAAGTTGCCACTCTGTCCTAACAAGTAAAAAGCTGAACAAATTGAAAAATGAACACATCTTCTTAGATTTATAGGAGATTTCTGATCACAGGGCAAACAACTGCCCACCAAATTGGAGAGACTAACAAGCATATACAGAGAATCACAACTTATGAGAGCAGCAGCCTCCTTGGAAACCATTGCTGGGTGTAGGAAAACCTGAATGGTAACTGGCAGATTCTGGAGGCTCAATGTGGATAACTCTGACAGTTAAAAACTCAGGAGGACCCATTCATTGAGGGACCCCCACACTTTTGTGAGTTTTACCTTCTAGATTTCTACCAGGTTCTCATAGTGAATATCAGAGAAAAATCTCATGTTCCTGGCAGGGGCAGGGGAAAAGGAACCATTTTGACATATGCCAGAGCATTCTGTTCTTAACAATGCCTGCCCTCATGGGAAACTGTTTAACCAGAGCCTGTCAGACCTGCAGGAAGAGAAATAGCCAAATTCAGCCCACTCCAGCCATCTTGTCTCATGTAAGGTGGTGGTGGCGGGACGGAAACTGAGAAGCACATGCCAAGTTCACAGGCCAGAGGCACAGGCTCAGTAAAAGACTGAGACTTAATTGTAGGACTATAAAATGCTTCCCCTCCCCTGACAATTTATAACTACATTAGTAAAGGCTTATTTACATCAATTTCTTTTACCCAGTACATCATGCCTGGCAATCAAGAAAAAATGATAAGGACTGCCAAAAACCAAAAAAAAAAAAAAAAAATGTTGGAGGAGACAGAGCAAACATTAGAACCAGATATGATAGGGACGTTAGAATTTAAAACAACTGTCTCTGTTTTGTATGTTAAGAGCTCTAATGTGTAAAGTAGACTGCATGTAAAAACGGACAAGCAATGTAAGCAGAGAGATGGAAATTCTAAGCAAGAACCAAAAATAAATGTTGAAGATCAAAAACACTGTAACAGATGTGAAGAATGCCTTTGATGGGCTTGTTAGGGAACTGGACGCAACTGAGGAAAAAAATCTCTGAACTTGAGGATATGTCAGTAGAAATCTCTGAAACTGAAAAGTACAGACAACAAAGACTGAAAAAATATACAAAGCATATTCAAGAACTGTAGGACAACTGCAAAATGTATAACATATGTGTAATGGGAATACCAGCAGGAGAAGAAAGAGAGAAAAGGACAGAAGAGATATATGAAATAATAATGACTGAGAATTTCCCCAAATTAATGTCAGACATGAAAGAACAGATCCAGGAAGCTCAGGGAACACCAAACAGAATAAGTGACCAAAAAAACCCAAACAAAAACCTAAAAACAACCCCCCCCCAAACACCTAGGCATATTGATTTCAAAGTACAAAAAATCAAAGATAAAGAAAAAATTCTGTAAGAAGCCGAGTGAAAAAAACCTCACCTATAGAATAACAGATATAAGTATAACATCTGACTTCTCAGAAATCATACAAACAAGAAGAGAATGTAATGAAATATTTAAAGTGTCGAGGGAAAAAAAATCCTAAAATTCTGTACCCTGTGAAATTATCCTTCAAAAGTGTAGGAGACATAAAGACTTTCTCAGATAAACAAAAATTGAGTCGAATTTGTCACCAAAAGGCTGAAAAGGAAAAATTGATACAGGTTGGAAACTCAGATTTATATAAAGAAAGGAAGAGCATCAGAGAAGGAATGAGTAAATTAAAGTAAAAACTTTCATTTTTCTCATTATTACTTTTTCTAACAAATAACAATTTATGGAAAATAATAGCAACAGTGTATTTGGTTATGTATGCTCATGTATATATCTTGTGTATTTGTACAGACATACATACATGTGTTTATGTATGTTCATGTATAAGTGAAATGAATGACAGAATGATAGAAACAATGGGAAGGAGAAATTAGTATTATTTTATTATTGGAAGGATAGTGTTATTTGAAAGTAGATTTGGATTAGTTATAAAGGCATGTTGCAAACTCCAGGGCAACCACTAAAAAAATAAAAGAAATATAAATGACATGCTAATATGAGAGAGAATGTAATCATATAAAATACCCAACTAAAACCACAAAGGCATGAAAAAGGTGGAAGACAAAAATAGGAACAAATAACATGGGTAACAAATAGGAAATAGTAACAAATATGGTAGATATTAATTCAAGTATATCAATAATTTGAAAGTCAGTTGTCTAAGTGAACCAATTAAAAGAAAGACATTGTCAGAGTAGATCATAAAACAAGATTCACCTGTGTGTTGTCTACAAGAAACCTATTTTATATATAAAGACATATAGATTCATTGTAAATGGGTGGAGAAAGATATACCATGCTAACACTAATCAAAAGAAAGCAAGACTGGTTATCTTAATTTCAGATAGAGCAGACTTCAAAGCAAGGAAGTTGATCAGGGACAAAGAGGGGAGTTATATAATGATAAAGTAGTTCTCCAAGAAGACATAACAATTCTTAATGTGTATGGACCTAACAACACAGCATCAAAATACTGATAGAACTGCAAACACTGATAGAATTTAAGGAAAAATAGATGAATTCTCTATTACAGTTGGAGACTTCAACATCCGTCTGTGAGAAATAGTCCAGCAAGCAGAAAATTAGGAAAGACATAGATGAACTCGATAATAACATCAATCAACTAGATATAATGAATATCTATAGATTAGTTCATTCAACAACAGCAGAATACACATTCTTCTTAAGCTCACATGGAAGATTTGACAAGGTGGACCACATTCTAGACAATAAATCATACCTTAATAAATTTAAAAGAAATCATATAAAGTCTGTTCTATGACCACAATAGAATTAAACTAGAAAGCAGAGCTGGAAAATTTCCAAATACTTGGAGATTAAACAACACACTTCTAGATAACACATTGATCAAAGAAAAAATCTTGAGATATTAAAAAATATTTTGAACTAAATGAAATGAAAGCAAAATTTATCAAAATTTGTGGCATTCTGCAAAAGCAGTGCTTAGAGGGACATTTATAGCATTCAATGCATATGTTAGAAAAGGAAAATATAAAATCAATCATCTAAGCTTCCACCTTTGGACACTATAAAAGGAAGAGCAAAGTAAGTAGAAGAAAAGAAATAATAAAAAAAATAGAGCAGAAATCAGTGAAAGTGAAAATGGGAGATCAATAGGGAAAACTCAACAAAATCAAAAGCTGGTTCTTTGAAATGATCAATAAAATCAGTAAGCCTCAAGCTAGGCTAGCTAAGAAAAAAAACAGTGCATCACAGATTAATAATATCTGAAGTGAAAGAGGGTATATCAGTACATATCCCATGGATATTTAAAGGATAATGAAGGAATACTATGAACAACTCTGTGCCTGCAAATTTGATAACTTAGAGAAGTAGGCAAATTCTTGAAGGACACAATCTGCATAAGAAGTAGACAATCTAAACAGGGAAATAGCTATTAAAGTATTTGAATTAATAGCTAATAACTGTGGAAAATAGAAAGCACCATGCTCAGATGGGTTCACTGGTGAATTCTATCAAACATTTACAGAAGAAATTATAATTGTCTACAAACTTTTTCAGAAGATAGAAACAGAGGGAACCTCTGTTAGGACTCATTCTATTAGGCCAGAATTATCGTAATATCAAAATCAGACAAAGACATTAGAAGAAAAGAAAACTACAGACTCATATCTTTCATGAACATAGATACAAAAATCTTTAACAAACTTTTAGGAAATCATATCCAACAATGTATCAAAACAATTATACACCATGACCAAGTGGGATTTATTTTAGGTATGCAAGCCTGGTTCAACATTTGAAAATTAATTAATGGAGTCCATCACGTCAACAGAAAATAAAAGTCAGATGATTATATGAATAAATGGAGAAAAGCTCTTTAACAAAATCTTACATTCCTTCATGATAAAAAGCTCTCAGTAAACTTGATAAAGGATATCTATTTAAAAACCTATAGGTAACATACTTTATGGTGAGAAATTCAAAGCTTTCTTATTAAGATCAGGAGCAAGGCAAGGATGTCCCTTCTTACCATTGCTTGTTAACGTCATACTAGAAGTCATAGCTAATGCAGTAAGACAAGAAAAAGAAATAAAAGTTACACAGATTGAGAACAAAGAAATAAACCTGTTTTGGTCACGGATGACATGATTGTCTATGTAGAAAATCCAAGAGAATTAACAAAGAAATTCTTAGAGCTAAGCATAATAGCAAAGCGATAAGACACACTGTTAACATTACAAAAGTCAATAGCTTTTCTGTTGACCAGCAATGAATAAGTTGATACGATATTAAAAACATAATATCATATACATTAGCACCTCCAAAAATGAAATACTGAGGTGTAACTCTAACAAAGTATATATAAGAAGTATAGGACAAAAATGACAGAACTCTGATGAGAGAACCAAAGATATAATATGAGAGAGATCCCATATTAACGGATGGGAAGACTCAATATTGTCAAGATGTCAGTTATTCCCCGCTTGCTTTATAGTTTCAACACAACCCCAATCAAAATCCTAGCAAAATATTTTGTAGATATTAAGAGATTCTAAAGTTTATATGGAAAGACAAAAGACCCAGAATAGCCAATAGAATATTGAAGAATAAGAACAAAGTCAGAGGACTGATACTACCCAACTTCAAGACTTATTATAAAAATACAGTAATCAAGATAGTTTGGGATTTTGTGTAAGACAATGGACAAATAGATCGATGGAACAGAATAGAGAGCCCAAAAATAGACCCACATAAATATAGTCAACTGATTTTTGACAAAGGGGCAAAGTCAACATAGCAGAGAAAAGATGGTATTTTTAACAAATGGTGCTGGAACAACTGGATATCCATATGCCAGAATGAATCTAGACATGGACCTTATACTCTTCACAAAATTAACTCAAAATGGATCACAGACCTAAATGTAAAACATAAGACTGTAAAATGTCTTGAGGATACATAAGAGGAAACCTAGATGACCTTGGGTGTGGTGATCATTTTTGAGATACAACATTAAAAGCATAATTCATGGAAGAAATAATAGTTAAGCTAGATTTCATCAAAATTTAAAAAAACAAACAAACCAAAAAAAAAAACCCCAAAAACCCACTTCTGCTCTGTGAAGACAGTGCCAAGAGAATGAGAAGATAAGCCAGACTGGGTAAAAAGATTTGCAAAAGTCACAGCTGATAAAGGACTATTATCTAAAACATAAAAAAAAAAAATCTCTTAAGTATCCACTAAGAAAGCAAACAACCTGATTTAAAAAACCTTAACAGACACCTGACCAAAGAAGATATATAGATGGCAAATGAGCACTCGAAAAGATGCTCCCCATCATATGTCATCAGAGAAATGCAAATTAAAGGAACAATGAGATACTACTGCATACTTATGAGAATGACCAAACTCCAGAACACTGACAACACTGAAAGCTTGTGAGGATGTGGAGCAAAAGGAACAATCATTAATTGCTGGTGGGAATGCAAAATGGTACCGTCACTTTGGAAGACAGTTTGGCAGTTTCTTATAAAACTAAATATACCATAGAATCTAAATAAATTATAGGATCTAGCAGTCACACTCCTGGATATTTACCCAAGGAAATTGAAAATTTATGTCCATACAAAAGCTGACATATGGATGTTTATATCAGATTTATTGGTAATACCAAAACTTGGAAATAACCAAGATGTCCTTTAATAGGTGAATGGACAAATAAACTGTGGTACATCCAGACAACAAAATATTATTCAGCACTCAAAAGAAGTGAGCTACCAAGCCACAGAAAGACACAGAGGAGCCTTAAATGCATATCACTAAGTAAAAGGAGCCAAATAAGTGGAGCACAGAGGATTTTATGACAGAGAACCACTCTATATGACACTGTAATGGTAGATACATGTCAGTATATATTTGTTCAAAGCCATAGAATATACAAAACCAAGAATGAAACCTGCTGTAAACTGTGGACTTGGTGATCATGATGTGTCATTTTAGGTTTATCATTTGTACAAATGTATCACTCTTATGGGTGGGGATGTTGCTAACGGAGGAGGCAATACATGTGGAGGCAGGAGATATATAGGATATCTTTGTACTTACTAGTAGCTCAATTTTGCTCTGAAAGTAAAACTGGTCTAAAAATAAAGTTCATAAGAGAATGATTTGAACTACTATCTATTTTATAGTTGTTGATAGTTTTGTTTATTTAACAATGTCATCCTTGATACCAACATTGTTATGTTGATGCAATGTTTGTTAGAAGTAGGCTCTGAGATTTTCTTATAAGTTGCTTATTCTCCTTTTGCAAGTTTTCCATACTGCAGATTTCTTAAGTCTTCTAAGAAGGTATATTGGAAATTTTTTCAGACAGCATCTAAGATTCTTAATTATTTCCTCAAATGCTGTTTACGTGGCTTTTTGACTATAGAGTCAAAGACTTGCATTTATGTAGTCTTTTCATAGAAATAATAACCAAGTTCATGTACACATGGCACTACTTCTGTGATGCTTGCTCTCTGGCCAACACTAATTGTTAGATGCATCTTCTTTTCAGAGGTATTATAATGTCGAAAAAAGTCATGTTAGAATTGGTGAATTATGACAACTCAAGAGTTAATCTGTATAATTAAAATAAATATTTAAATTCGTTTTTTTATTAGAGAAAATATTTCTGTGCACAGCAAGTTAATTTATTGGTCTTTGATGACAGCACTATTTGATTTGCTCTTCTTTTTAAGAAATGTTTTTTAATATGGTGTTGAATTTATTACTGATTTCTAAACTATATTAAAGAACAACTCTGACCTATAAGCAGTAAAATACACATTATCTAATGCTTTGGAATTTAAGTTCTTGACAATGTAAATTTAAGCATTAAAACTTTTTTTTTTTTTTTTTTGCTTTTCTTTTCTTGACAGGTTACAAAGACAGAATTAGAGAAATTAAAATCCAGCTATAGACAGTTAATAAAAGAAATGAATTCTGCCAAAGAGAAATATAAAGACGCTTTAGCTAAAGGTATGAAAACTTATGAAAATTTTTTATGTTAGTGATTTTTGTTCTCATCATTTGAAAATTATCTTTATAAATAGTGGAATAATTCTACTTCGACCAATTTGCATTTAAAAATATTAAAATAAACCAAAATAGACTGATTGTGAAGCTATGTAATAATTCTTTTTTAAAAATGATTCACAATATTTTTGAAGAATGAATACTAAATGAAATTATGTAGCACTCATAATAGAATGCAAAGAGTGTTTAAATTTATCTTGCTAGCATCAGATTAATTTATTAAATAACTGAGTACTAAATAAGAGAAATAAGGTTGTATATGTTTAGAAGTTTTTTAATCCCTTTTTTACCTGTGGTATTTAAAAGCCATTAAAATCACAAGGTCATTTTATGGCATTATTTTGCCTTTATAGCTCAATTTTATGTGTCTATAGTGTCCTAAAATTTTCATAAAATGCTTTGGAAGTAAATGGAAAGAGAAACTAACATTTTAAACACAGATTTATGGTTATAGTCTTTAAATGTGACTAAACAGCCTTCATATTTAGATATTTTTAATTATAAGAGTTTAAAATTTTTCTTTCTTGCTAAATATAAGCATTATTGGAAACTATTTGGCTTCTTAAATTTACCTTTCTCTTTTATTGATGTATTTTTTTTTTGTCTTTTACTTATATATTATCTTCTTGTTTTTGTAGATAAATAAATAAACAGCTCCTACATTTGGATATATCTTGCACAACGAAAGCGCTGTCTTTGTTGTTATTCCTAGTAGACTAGAAGAGATACTGATTTAATTAGTTCTCCCTCCCTCTTTTCTTTGCTTCCTCCCTTCGTATGTCCCTACCCACCTTGCTCCTTCCTGCTTCTTTCCCTTTTCTTTCTCTCTGTCCTACTCCTTCTCTCCCTCAGCCTTCCTCCCCTCACCATCTTTCCTCCCACATCTACTTTATGTTTCCCTCTCCCTGTCCTCACCCCTTTTTGCAGCATTCTATTGCTTTTTTAAGGAAGATGACTCCATGCTCACAGTTTCCTTATTTTTCCTTATTTTGCATGTACCTTGACCAATATTTTGAAATTATGATCTCTTTATTAATGTAAACATCTCTTTTAGAATGCTTTTGTAATATCTAAGTTATTTAAGTGAAAACAAATGGCATAGTGGAAAGATCGTAGACTTTGGAATCAGTCTTGGATTAAATTCCAAAATTTTATGTTTGTTTCATAGATTTTCAATCCTCATTTTCAAAGCTAATCACTATTTATTTTTTTATTTTTAAGAGTGCTTTAGATAATCAAAAAATATTTACTGAGGACTTTATTTAAGTTATTGAGATTGAAGCAGTATCTCGTAGGCATTAAAGAAGTATACGTGTTTGTAGTTGATATTCTAACTCAGGAACTCCAAGACTTATCCTTTTTCAAGATTTTGCTTTTATACAAGGGATACTTTGCTAAACCATCAAGAGTAGTTTAGAAATAGTTTTGTACATTTAGCATTACTACTCAACCTGTTAAAATCATTCATTTTTTAAAGTTCATTACTTAAGGCCTGGCTAATATTCCCAAATTAGTGTCCCACATTATATAGAACCATATTTAAATTTACCCAGAGCAAGCAATGACTTAATCCAACTGTATTTAATCCAGCTATGCTAGGTATTTCACACTAGGTTTGTATAAATTGAAGAACGATTAGTTAGGAAAAGAAATACATAATTACTCTCAAGTCTTGGTGCCTGTTTTTAATGATATGGTTTTATTTTTGTTTAAAAAATGAATTCTAATTCTGTTATCATAATAAAGTTTTAAATAGTTCTTGTTCTTAATGCTTGTATTATCAAAGATTTTTCACAGATAATACTTGTTCTTCATTACTTTGGATCTAGATAATATACCATTTAGTATTATCTTAATAATAGGAAGGCAACCAGAAAACTTAAGACTGTAGTTTTAATTGGTCTTTAGAGGTTTATTATTTGATTGAATTTCCTGATATTAAAATAGTCAAGCTTATTTAATATTTCTGTTTCTAAAGAATTGTTTGATTGATTTTGTTATATTACACCAACCTCACATTTCTGGGTTAACTCCTCATGATATATTATTTTTTATACTGCTGGGTAGATTTGGCTAAGTTTTTGTTTATAACTTTTCACCTATGTCTTTGTTTCTTGTAATATCTTTGTCTTATTTCCATATATGGGTAATGCTGTCTTATGAAAGATTACTTCCTCTTCAATTTTCTAGAAAGATTTGTTCTCTATTGGTAGTATTTCTGAAGTATTGGTAGAATTCACTTATGAAGTCATCTGGGTCTGCCTGATACAGTTTTTCCTTTTTGTGAAGATTTTTAAAGTATAAATTAAATTTCTTTAATCTATACAGGGCTATATGGTTTATCTATTTCTTTTTGTTTGACTTTTAGTGGGTTGTATCTTTCAAATAATTTGTTCATTTAATTTAAGTTGTTGAATGTATTGGTATTAAGTTGTTTATAATCTCTTCTTCTTTTTAGATTTATGGAATCTGTGGTGACATTTTCATTCTTGATTTTCATACTTTGTGTCTTCTCTTTTTTTCTGATCATTCTGGCTAAAGGTTTATCAGTTTTATTAATCTTCTCAAAGAACAGCTTTTGACTTTGTTTATTTTATAGTATTGGTTATTCTACAGCATCAATATATTGATTGATTATTTGATCGAATGATTGATTGCCTTACTGCTATGTTTATTATTTTAAAAATTTAAATATTGTTGACATACAATATTGTATTAGTTTCAAGTATAAACAGTAATTCAACATTTCTAAAACTTATGAAATGATCATCATGATGAGTAGTAATTATCTGTCACCATACAAAGTTATTACAATATTATTGGCTATATTCCCTATCCTCTACAATACATCCCTGTGATGTATTTATTTTATAACTGGAAGTTTGTACTCTTAATCCTTTTCACCTATTGTTCCCATCCCTTAACCTTGCTCCCTTCTGGCAGTTATCAGTTTGTTTTCCATGTCTTTGAGTCTGTTTCTGTTTTGTTTTGTTTGTTCATTTACTTTGTTTGTTTAGATTCTCTATAGATGTGAAATCATATAGTAAATGTCTTTCTCTGGCTTGCTTTATTTAGCATAGTACTCTCTAGGTCTATCCATGTTGTCACAAACGGCAAATTTTCATTCATTTTTATGGCTGAGTAATATTCCATTTGTGTGTGTATGTATGTGTGTGTGTGTTGTGTGTGTGTATGTATCACATCTTTATCCATTCATCTATTGATGGACACTTAGGGTTGCTTTTATATCTTGGCTATTGTAAATAATGCTGTAATGAACATAGGGGTGCATATATCTTTTCGAATTAATATTTTAGATTTCTTCGGATAAATACCCAGAAGTGGAATTGCTGGATTATTTGGTAGCTGTATTTTTAAGTTTCTGAGGAGCTTTCATACTGTTTTCCATAATGGCTATACCAGTTTACTCCACCAAGAGTGCATCAGGGTTCTCTTTTCTCCATATCTTTGCCAACACTTATTGTCTTTCCCCCCCTATTTTTCTGCTTTCTATTTAATTGACTTTTGCTCTTATCTTATTTCCTTCTGCTTGCTTTAGACGTACTTTGTACTAATTTTCCTATTTTCTTATTGTGGGAACTAAGATCACTGATTTGAGAACGATCTTTTTTTCCCCTAATACATGCATTTAGTGCTATAAATTTCCCTATGTACTGTTTTAGCAATATTTCATACATTTTTATATATTGTGTTTTTATTTGCATTCAGTTCAAATACTTTTTCATTTGTTTTTTTTTGTGTGTGTTATTTCTTTGATCCATAGGCTTTTTAGAAGTGTTATTTAGTTTCTTAAAGTTTGATATTTTTCTAGAGATGTTTCTATTTCTTATTCATAATTTAAATCCATTTTGGCCTGAGAATATTTTTATGACTTCTTCTCTTCATATTTATGGCCCATATTATGGTCTATCTTGGTAAATTCTTGTGCACTCAATAAGAGTATGTATTCTGTTGTTGGAGTGGTCTGTATTGTCAGTGTAGTCCAGTTGGTTAATATTGTTATTCAAATTTTTAATGTTTTTCTGATTTTCTGTCTACTTGTTCTATCAACTGTTTAGATAAGGCAGGTGAAACCCCCCACTGTAATTGTGGATTTATCTGTTTCTTCTTGTAGTTCTTTCAGTCTTTTGCTTCATGTAGTTTGAAACTATGTTACTAGGTATATAAGCAGTCAAGATTGTTATTATCCTCTTGATGACTTCACTCCTTTATTATCCCTGGTATTATTCTTTTCTGTGTTATCTATTTTGATATGAATATGGCCACTCCAGCTTTGCTTGGATTAGTGTTTACATGATATATCTTTTCTTATATCCTTTCACTTTAACCTGTTTCAGTCTTTATTTTAGCGTGCATTTCTTGTAAGGAGCATATAGTTAGGTCTTGCTTTTTTATCATGATAATCTCTACCTTTTAATTGGGGTAGTTAGACTATATTTAATGTGATTTTTGAAAATGTTAGGTTTAGATCTGCCATCTTACAATTTGTTTTCTCTTTCTTCCATCTGTTCTTTATTCTCTTTGTCCTTTTTTCTGCCTCCTTTGGATTAATTGAAAAATGTTCTTAAGATTCCTTTTTATCTCCTTTGTTGTCTTATTAGCTATAACTTTTTGTTTTGTTATTTTATCTTTAATTTATCATAGTATATTTTCAAGTGATATTATACTACTTTATGTATAAAATGGGTCCCTCACAAGAGTTTAGTCTTCCGGCCTTTGTGTTGTGATATATTTTATTTTCACAAGTGTTATAAACTCCATACTATATTGTTAATGTTTTTGTTTAAACAGAAAAACATCTCATATATTTACCTAGTTATCTTTTCTGGCATTCTTTATTTCATCTGGTATCACTTTACTTTTGCGTGAATGACTAAGATTTCTTGTAAGTCTGCAGTCAATACTTTCAGCTTTTGTGTGTG